GGGGATGGGAGAGAAGAGGCTTTGTCTGTTTTTCCTGAGATTTTAAATATTATTAGATAATTTCTTTCGAATTTCTAATAAGCAGGTTGAAGTTTAAATTACAAGATCTCTAACAGAGTCAGGATCAAAATAGCACAGGAGCCGGCAGACAACAATTTCTGGGGCCAGATGGGTTTCAGGTCTGCTCTTTGCAAAGACAAAGCTCCTATTGAGTGGTGGAGAGGAGAGCTGGGGAAAAGAGAGAGGGCTGTGGAGGGTTTTCATTACCTCGATCATCATCCCCACCGCGAGGGGAGGATGTAGAAGGAAGAAAGAAAAGCTGGACCTGGCCAATGCGCTGCTGAAAATGACAGCTTGGAATGAATCACACACCTGATATCTGTGGCTCCTCCAGAGCAGAGTGTGGACATGAGACAAAGAGGAGGAAAGAAGGAAGGAAGCCGAAGCCCTAGCCCTGCGCGCTCACACATCCAGCAAAAATAAAAAAGCAAAAACATCACAGCAGAGGACGGGTTCTTGGTAGGTGGTCTAGGGCTAGAAAGGTGATCTAACAGTTTTACGTTTTTTCTTGAGATGCCTTGTAAACATTAGATTAGGAATCTCAACACTCAAGGGAACTTTATAGTTGAAAACCAACAGCCACTTCCCAATAGAAGGTGAAGCAGAGATGGCAGAGATCAAGAGATACAATACCTCTCCCTCTATGTGCAGGCTAACAATGGAGATTATGGGTCTCTGGGGCATTGCCACAAACCCAGTCTTGTTTCTTCCTCTTCCTCTCCTTCCCTCATTTCTTTTCTCTCTGTCATTATTAATGTCAGAGTCAAGTGCCGTCTTTGAAAAAAGCAAGTCTCCATCTGAATGGAGTTGGGGCCAGGTTCACAGGCGTTATTTCTTATTGGAACATCCTCCCTGGCAGGTGCTTCTCATCTGCTAACCCCTGTGTCTTCCCTTCTACTGTGCTGGCATTAGGAATTCACATCTCCATTCAGGTATGGCCAAATAGTATCTGAGAGGTGAAACCAGTAGCTCTCAAACTGGGCTGCCAAAAAGTTGTTTTTGTTTTTGGATGCCCAGTCTCTACACTCCAGAGATTCTGATATAATTGGTGTATGTTTTTAAAGTTCACCCCAGGTAACCCTTACATGTCACCAGAATTGAGACCCCTTATGTTAAGAATTATCCAAGGAGTGGTTCTCAGACACCTGGAAGGCTCACGAAATCTAGGTTGCTGGACACATCTGCAGAGCGGCTGATTCAGTGAGTCTAAAGGTAGGTCAGAGAGTCTGCCTTTTCAGCAAGCTCCCAGGTGACCTCCCAGGGACCACCCTGTTAGAACCACTGACCCCAAAGCATATATGTTGTAATTGGTGAATAAGATGGAATGTGGGCCTCCCTGCCTCGAAGTCTGCACCCCAAGCATGTTTATATTTCCCTTTTAGTTTTATTTATTTATTTAGAGATGGAGTTTCACTCTTGTTGCTCAAGCTGGAGTGCACTGGCACCATCTCGGCTCACTGTAACGTCTGCCTCCTGGGTTCAAGCAATTCTCCTGCCTCAGCCTCCCATGGAGGGGATTACAGGCATGGGCCACCATGCCTGGCTTTTATTTTGTTTTTTTTTTTTTTTTTTGTATTTTTAGTACAAACGGGGTTTCACCATGTTAGCCAAGCTGGTCTCGAACTCCTGACCTCAGGTGATCCACCTGCCTCAGCCTCCCAAAGTGTCAGGATTACAGGTGTGGCCACCGCATCCAGCCTGTTTTTATTTGTTTATTGTTTGAGACGAAGTTTTACTCCTGTTGTCCAGGCTGGAGTGCAATGGCACAATCCCGGCTCACTGCAACCTCTGCCTCTTGGGTTCAAGTGATTCTCCTGCCTCAGCCTCCTGAGTAGCTTAGATTACAGGCACCTGCCACCACGCCCTACTAATTTTTTATATTTTTAGTAGAGATGGGATTTCACCATGTTGGCCAGGCTGGTCTCGAACTCGTGACTTTCAGGTGATACACCAGCCTCAGCCTCCCAAAGTGCTGGGATTACAGGTGTGAGCCACCACACCTGGCCTGTATTTCCCTTTTAAAGTGGTCTGTTGGACCAAAACAGTCTCTAGACACAATGACTACTGTGGAGCAGCTGTAGAATCTCTTTCCTGAGAGATGTGTCAGATATCATGGGAGAGAATATTCCAGGGCATTGCTACTCAACGTGCACTCTGTGGACCAGGAGTATTGGCATCACCTGGAAACTTATTAGAGGTGGAGTCTCTCAAGCCCCACCCCAGAGCCAGGATTGGAATCTGCATTTTTACATGGTTTCCAGGGGATTTTATGAACATGAAAGTTTAAGCAATGCTGTTCTAGGAGAGCTGAGAAACACCGTGATTGGAAGTTGGAGAAATTAGGTGGTGTGCTGCCCAGCACACCTGCAGGGGGCATGGGGCAGAGGGCTGCAGCTCATCTAGGTCCTCCTAACCCCTGGCAAATACTGGCAGCATCAGGAAGGGTGTTCAAAGAGGACACTCGACCATGATGATAATAATGACAAAGAGAAAAGACATAAGGGAGGAAGAAGGAGAGAAACGAGATCCAGGTGGCAATGCCCCAGGGAGTTCAGGTATAGAGACTGGATTCAATGATGTCTAGAGTGTGTTCAGCCCTGCCACTGCCACTCAGTCCAAAGGTAGAGGAAGGAGGGGAAAGTTGTGGGCTGGGCTCTGAGCAACCCATGCACACGCTGTCACTTAAGCCTCGCCAGATCCCTGTCAGGGATGGCCATGCCTGTTGTATTAGTCTGTTCTCACATTGCTATAAGGAAATACCTGATACTGGGTAATTTATAGAGAGGTTTAATTGGCTTACGATTCGACAGGCAGTGCAGGAAGTATCATGCTGGCATCTGCTTGGCTTCAGGGGTGGCCTCAGGAAACCTATGATCATGGTGGAAAGCAAAGGGGGAGCAAACATTTGATACGGCCAGAGCAGGAGGAAGAGAGAGCAAGGAGGGAGGTGCTACACACTTTTAAACAACCAGATCGTACAAAAACTCACTCAGTATCATAAGAACAGCACAACTGGGATGGTGCTAAACCATTCATGAGAACTCCACCCCCACGATCCAATTACCTCCCACCAGGCCCCACCTCCAACACTGGGGATTACAATTTGACATGTGATTTGGGCAGGGACACAGATCCAAACCATATCACCTGGTTTCCAAGGGGAAGTCAAGATAAGGAAGATCAGAGGACCTGTGCAGTTCCCACAATTACTCAAAAAAAAAAAAAAAAAAAAAACCTAGGAGATTTCTTTTCTTATCCAGGTCTGGGAAGTCAAAGTTCACATTCTCCTCACCACAGAATGTGAGGGATGGGTTCATGGGAGATGATTACAGGAGCACCAGAATTTGGGAGTTTCAGAGGATTCCCAAATTCTGCCTTGTCCTTCGCATGACAGAGTAACCAAGCCAGTCTGAATGGATGTGGGAGACAGAGCTCTGGGGCTACACACGGGGGCTCTGGACTCCAGTTGCCTAAACTGAAGCCCTGTCTCCACTCTTTGCTAGCTTCAGGCTCCCGTCTATAAATTCTCTTTGTCTCCGCTTCCTTGCCTGCAGAAGATGGAGATGAAACTGATATTCATCTCACTGAAATTTTGGAAGAATTAAATCAGATAAAACATTCAAAATTCTAAGCCCTGTGCCTGGTACATAATAAACACCCGGTCTTTTTGGAAGAAGTACCAGTCCCTAGTCTTGGTCCGGTCAAATAATCTCTCTAATTGCTGCTCTGGAAAGGAGCATTTTAATTCCACAGCGAGACAATGTGGAGAAGTGGAATGCTATGGGAAATGTGGGTACAAAATGGGAAGGCGAAGGGCAGATGAAGCCCAGTTATTTATGTGATTGCAGGATGTTTGCAAAGACACACTCAAAATGCACACAAGTTGGCGTTTCCCCACAAGTGATGGCAGTGAGCCTGGGAAGGGTAATGTCGACATCAGAACCATCTGGCTGTGCCTGCAAATTCAGAAGCCAATCACCATTTCCACCCTCTGAACTCTCACCACCCCAGTCCTACATTTTTATACCAGAGACCCTGAGTCCCCTGGAAGGGGAAATAGTCTCTGTCCCATTTGCTGCCCGTAAATAATACCCCGCAAAGAGTGCTCATTTTAGAACCTTATCTTGCTCTGCAGTTACCTTAAGTGTAAGAGACAGGCTTGGAGAAGAGAAGCACAAGCTGAAAACCTGCAAACTTCCGTGCTCCCCTGGGCTCAAAGGCTTACAAAAGGAAGATCTGTTTTGAGAATATTTTCCTGTTCAAGAAGGGTAGTAGTGGTGATCATCAGAGGCGCCTTGGTGTGTCCTAGGCTTTTATTCCTGGGGTTCACAGGAATCCACGTAGAGTTCCCCTTCCTGCTCAACTGCTGCCCTCAAGAGCCAGCTAGCCTTGCTCAGGTCATTGCAATCAGGTGCCATAATTATTACTATTTGCAGGTGAGAAGACTGTCTTAAAGAGTTTCACCTACGTGCTCAAGATGGTACCTATAGTAAGTGATTGAGAACCAGGGTGAGAGCATGGGCTTCCAAACCCTGGGTTTTAGCTGCAAGGCCAACCTTCATCCATGGCGGTGCAGGGGGACTATCACTGAGGTGGGGACTCACCAGACCTGTGTGGACATCTTGGTCTTGATGCTCACCTTTCTTCTGATACCAGTGTCCCCATTTTTCTCTGGAAAACCCAGTATCAGTCTTGCCCTGGAGGGCACCTGACCCATGCCTGGCCAGTCAGCACATCCCTTAGGCTGCAGGGATTGGTTCATGAATCTAGAGAGGTGGCTCATTCTGCTGGACATGGGGGTGTGAGCCCAGGAGCCCGGAGGGAGAACCTGCCTGAGAATTAAACCAATGAAGAGAAGAGCAAAACCCAGAGATGTCGTGTCAGGTAGGAAGGCCATGCTAAGCTGAGGTAACAAATAAACACAATTATTATTATTCTTATTGTGTAGCTTAACATAATAAAGGTTTATTTCCCCCTCACATAAAGTCCAATGTGGGTCAGATGATTTTCCAGGGCAACTCTCTTCTGCTGTTCCTTAACTTGGGGGTTCAGGTGCTCTCCATCTGTAATGAGCCCATCTCAACATGTGGCTTTCACAGTTCCTGAAGTGGGAAATAGAGACATAATACACTCATTTTATTGGCTAGAAGTTGTCACGTGACTTGCCTAAACTCAAAGGGACGGGAAATATGGCCGTCCAATGTGGCCCAGAAGGTAAGAACCACTCAAGAATGAACCCCAAAGGTCTCCACCACAGATGGAGGGAAATAAAGTAGTTTAAATGATTTAACATGATTTAAATCTCTAGATCAAGCTGTGCCTGAAGGAGTTGTGGTAGTTCTTAAATGAGCCAATGGATTTCTTTTTTTTAAGTCTAGTTTAAGTTTAGCTTTTTTCTCACTTGAAATTGAACAAATCCCACTTGAAAGGAACATACCTAGTCCTCACTCCCTGGCTGACTCCAGCGTCTCCCTCCTCCCAGTCTAAACACCACCCACTATGGGCTTCTGCCCTTCTACTCACTAAGGAGAACTGCAACACACATAAGCATAAATGTTCTAGATTTTCCTAGGAACTGTCATTTCAGCTGCTGTGAAGGCCAAACGGTACATGAGAGAGTAAGTCATTTAGGAGAAAATAAAAGTCCATGCTAAAGATAGCCTTCCATCTTGCAAATGAGTAGGGTTCCCCTGAAGGAAAGCTAGGACTTCTGTAGAACGCCATAAAGTTAGCTTTCTGAGATACTTTGGAGAAAGTGGCCACATCTGTCCTTAGACTGGCAGCAGCAGCAAGAGTTGGCTTGACCTCCTAGGGACTTTACTTGAAGACTCTGGCTGGAGAGAGGAGACCTGGATTCTGGTTTAATCTTTGCCATTGACCAACTGGCTAACCTTCAGCAAGTCATTTATCCTCCCTGGGCCTCAGTTTCCTCATCTGTAAAGTGAGTATGTTAAACTAGCCAGGGTCTAATATCCCTGTCTCCTTTATGCCCTAGATTTCTGTAAGATCCCACTTCCACGTGCAGGTGCTCAGAATGTGGCTCAGCAATTGTCCTGCTGGTCACAACCAGCAGGAGTGAGTGTGCTGGTTGAAACCCTTCCCAGAACTTCCCATGCAGAGTAGCTGCACACTGTGTACTAGCTGGGTAGACACTGGGTAGACAAAGGATCTCAGAAAGCTAACTTTATGGTGTTCTACAGCAGTCTATCTTTCCTTCAGGGAAATCCCATTCATTTGCAAGGTGGAAGGCTATTTTTAGCATGGACTTTTATTTTATCCTAAGTGACTTACTCTCATGTACCATTTGGCCTTCCCAGTGGCTGAAAATCATATTCGAAGAACATTGGACTGGAAGCCAGGAGACCTAAGCTCACATACCACTTGTTTCATTGCCTTTGACAAGTCCTTTAAATCTCTCTAGACTTAAGTTTCTCCATCTTTCATGTTGGAATGGTGATTTGTGCTTCCTTCAGAAGATCAAACAACCTTCTAGAGGCCTCTTTGGGCTTAGAGTCACATGACATGGTTTGAGTTATCACTCTGACATCTTCTAGCTATGAGACCTTGAGCAAGTTGTAATCTCCCCACACCTTAAGGTCTGTAAATAAAAATACCAACCATTAACTTAATTGATGGCTTTCTCTGTGTTTCTCTACAACCTCATGACATAGGTACTATTATCAACTCTATATTTCAATGTCTTTAACCTCTCTAAGCTGCAGAGTCACAGAGCAGGTGGCAGACCCATATTCCAACCCAGAGCTGTCTGGCCCTAGTCTCTGCTCCACACCACGCTCCCTGCTTCCCTGACATGGACAGTGAATGAGGATGGGTACAGAGAAGCCCCAAATGCTACAGAGGTGTCTCATTCAGGTTTGTATCACCCTTCATCCCTAGAAACATAATTAAAATGTAGTATAGTCTCAGAGACCTTGTGTTGAGTGAGTGATTAATGAGTGCATAGATGGATAACAAAATAGATAAGTTATAAATGGAAAACAATATGGCGCTATGCAGATGCCCAAATATATGCATTGATCCAGGTGCAGGGAGTAGCAGGGATATGGTGATCAGGTGCGCTTGGGGTTGGGATACGGAAGTGGCCAAGTTGAAGGGGCCCAGACCACCACACACCAGAGGGGCTGGGGTTTCTTCCTCTATTCCTCCACCAGTGGCCCAGAAGGTCCAGACATGTGCCCAGAGTTAGAAAGACATCTAATTAGAGCTCTGATGCTAAATCGCATAAGGGCCTTCCCTGGAGCTCAGGATAGAGGGTTGGCAATGAGGCATGCAGAGCTGGAGAAAAAGGGCTGTTCACCCATCACTCAGCCATCGGGGTCCCATGCCTGAAATGAAGGGGACTCCTCAGCTCTTTCAGGAAATGTCAGCAGCCAAAACAATGTCTTCCTTGTCTTCCTTCTTGTGTTTTCACTCCTTCTGCATGCCCCTGTGGCCCAGGAATATATAGATTCATCCATCCAGTTTTGAGTACTGCTATGTGCCAGACACTGCTCAAAGGGTCTGGGATATCCTTAAATAAAAACAACCAAAAATCCCTGCCCAGGTTCACCTTGTGTCTGATCACAAGAGCAAACCCTGCCCAACCACTGCCAGAATTGGTATCATGGGGAGTCCTCTGCACTGACCATCTGATTATCTTGCCCTGAACAAAGGATCAGAGCACTGTTTAAATGCTGGCATGGGTCCTGGAATGAACTCACATCTCTGGAGAAGACCTTCAACATTGGAGAACCAGCTGGTGCCTTCTTCTAAAGGAAAGGCAAAGGTCTTGAACTTCGTGATTCCTTGCAAATCCCAGTCTAAGCCATTCAGCAGCAGGAAATATGTGCACCTGGTGAGGTCTCCGGCGTGGGTCTGCAAAAAGAAGGAGGCAGGTTGATAGCCACCAGTTGTCCAAATGAATTCACTCAGTATAAATGCTGGGTACTGACTAAGTCCATGGCCCCTTGCTAGACGCTGAGACAGCCACTGAAGAAATGAGAGGCTGTTCCTACCCTCCATGAACTTCCAAATGAGCTGACAATCGGAGGGGCTGAAGAGGTTAGGAAAGCTGTTTGGTTAGGGGTAAAAAGAAGGATAGGATAGGCAGAGGGAAAAACCAGGACCAGGTTGGATGTAATACTGAGAACATGCATAGCCCAGGTATAGCAGCAGGGAGCTTATATTCATTCACTCACTCATTCGTCCATTTAGTCAATAAATATTTGTTCCATACCTCTTCTATCCCACTCTGCTAAGCTCTGCAAATAACTTGGTGAGCATATCCACATCATTTCTAAACTGATGGTCCCACTGGGAGAGACAGGCATTCATCAAATAATCACACATTATTTCTTTGAAGGAGAAATACAAGACATATCAAGAGAACCATGTATGTTGTTGTGTGTGTATGCATGCATGCACACATGTGGTGGTTAAAGACTGGTGGTAAGGAGACAGTTTCTGCAAAGGGAACAACTTTTGCAAGATGTCCTGAGATAGATAGGGATCTAGTCCAGTAGGTGGGCTGAAGAGAAGCAAACTAGAGGTGAGGGCTGGAATCAGCAGAGCCCAGGCTGATGGTACGGGTCAAGTCAAAGGTTTTGCTCTCGTCCTAAGGTAAGGGCAGCCAATAAAAGGTTTATGCAGCAAACAACTAGGCTGTGATTTGTGCTGGAGAGAAGATGTCATGCTGAGGGGTTGGGAGGTGAATTCACGTTTCCTTCATTTTATGAAGAATTTGCAAAACCTTTGAGCCAGAAAAGTTCATTTTCTGTTCTCTCAGAGGCAGTATAGCAGAATGGTTATGAATCCAGAATTTTACGATGAAGATTCCAATCCTACTTTGGATAATCAATAATAAATTATGTCTAAGTCCCATGTTTCTCATAGGGCTTTTGTGAGCATTTAAATGCAAACATATGTACATGTGAGTAGTATCTCTAGCACTTATAAGCACCCAGCAATTTACAACTATTTTTCTTGGTTCTCCTTGCACCTTGAGTAAAGAGACGCTGAGCTGTATCATAAGTTTCAGTAGAGTTTGACCACTCTTAGGACCATCTTTCACTGAAGAACCTTTGGCCTATTGCTTTCTTGCTGAAGTTTAAATGTTTCCAGTTTCTTTTTGAGAACAGCTGGTCCCAATCTACTAAATAACCCCTTTGCACACTTGAAGACCATTATTAAGATTCCCTTTGGCCATAAACATACGAAGAAGTGTTTAACATATGAAAAAAATGTTTAACCTCACCAGTAATCAAAGAAATTCAAATCAAAACAACAAAATGCAATTTTTGCCTATCAATTTGGTAACTTTTTAAAATGATAGTGCACAGTGCTGGTGAGAGTAGGGTAAGGTGGCAATTTCGTACATTGCTGGTGGGAACATAAATTGGTACAATCTTTCTGGAAAGCAATTTGGCAATATGTTATCAAGACCCTGAAAATTGTCCTTACCCTTTAACCCAGTAATTCCACTTCTGGGAATCTATCTCAAGGAAATAATCAAAGAATCAGACAAAAATTGCTGTTCATGCTGTTTGATATAGCAAACAATATTTTGAATTAGGAATAACCAAAAATTACCTAGAAGTCAAATGGTGTCGTGACATATATTAAAAAGTTATTAAAAGTCATGTTAACAGGGAATTTTCAAGGACATTTAAAATGGTCGCCAAAAACCGTAAAACACAAACATATAGAAGATACAAAACTAAACACAGTAGGATTTTAATTATGTAATTATATATACTTCTATTTTTATATGTGCATAGAAACAGCTAAATGCAAACACAGCAAAATATTAACAGTTCTTACTAGAGGGTGATAGAATTAGGGGTGGCTCTTTATTTTCTACTTTACAATTATATAACCAAAAACTTGTTTAAGAGCTCACATGGCCTTATGTATTTTTCTAAGTAGTTCATCATGGTCCCGCTTCTGCCATAGCATCTTGCCCAGAATCGAAACAGCGGACTTTCAGTGGTTACAGTTTTCCTGGAAAGGGCCAGATAGCAGATATTTTAGGCTTTGCAGATCATACAGTCTTTGTTGCAACTTCTCAACTCTATTGTTGTATGGCAAAACCAGCCAAAGATAATATGGCAACCAATGGGCATGGCTGTGTTCTAATAGTATATATATATATATAATTTATGTATTTTTATATTTATTATATATATGTATTTATATAATATAATATATAATATATTATATATGTTTATATATAAAATATTTTGTTTTTATAAATATATAAATATATATTTATATATTATATATTGTATTTTACATATATTGTATATAATTGTATATATTTATAAAATTTATATATTTCTGTATATAATATATTATATATAGATATATAATACTTATATTATATTATATAATATATATATAGGCAGCAAGTCAGTTTTAGCCTTGGTCTTAGTTTGCTGACACCTGGTCTAGATGATTTGAATCTCTCCTGGCCCAAATTATGTATAGTCTCAAACAAGTATAGTTGGGGAGACTTCTAGAAGGGTGGGGTAAGGTTTTTGTCCCTACATTCCTAGTGAGTCAATCAGTCTGAAATGTACTGAGAAGCAATCAGCCAGGGTACTTCTCCCAGGCTTTGTTTATTCACCTCTTTGGGTTTTTTTGTTTTGTTTTGTTTTTATTATTTCAATAGTTTTGGGGGTATAGATGGCTTTTGGTTACATGGATAAGTTCTTTAGTGGTGATTTCTGAAATTTTAGTGCACCCATCATCCAAACAGTGTACCCAATATGCAGTATTTTATCCCTAACCCCCTCCCAACCTTCTCCCCACCCCAAGTCCCCAAAGTCCATTATATCACTCATGCCTTTGCATCCTCATAGCTTAAGTCCCACTTATAAATGAGAACATACAATATTTGGTTTTCCATTCCTGAGTTACTTCACATAGAATAATGGCCTCCAACTCCATCCAAGTTGGTGCAAAAGACATTATTTCATTCCCGTGTGCCTAAGATAAGAGGATCTTTGGGTCCAGGAGTTCTGGGCTGATCAGGCATCTGCACTAAATTCACCATCAACATCAATATGGTGACCTCCCGAGAGCACGAGACCACCAGGTTGCCTCAGGAGGGGTGAACCGGCCCCGGTGGGAAACCGAACAGGTCACAACTCCCAGGCTGATCTGTATTCGCCTCTTTGTATGGCTCCTCCCTCTTCTTGTGCATCAGTGCCCTCTCCAAGTACCTCTTTTGCCACCACCCACTGCAGCCCTTAACCCATCTGGCGTAATAGGAGTTGATGACTGAAAGGAGCTGCAGAGACTTGGAACAGTTGGTGGCTAGTTCGAGATCTCCCCTCTCTACCAACTATATGGTAAATGCACCTGATAGCAATAACTTAAGCATACCCTGAGAACAACGCTGTATGGCAGATGCACCTGACTGTGTTTTCAGAGTTCCAAGCTAAGGAATCTGGGAGGAGCCAATGCAGAGATTCATTTTTTATCTATGAGGAACATCAGAATGCCCAGCCCTTCCTGCGGAACATGGGCCATGCAGGGATCAAGGCTCTTTGTTTGGGAGTCCAGTAAAGGTTGCCAGGTGGAGACTGTCAGGGTAAGGCTGCTAAGTGAAAATGTTACATAAACTGCATGCTTTTTGCAAGTAGCTCCTGCCCAGCCCGCCACCACTGGACTCTCTCCCCTGTATGTAAGCCCCCAGCCCATGTCTCATCTGCTGGCTCTGGGTCTCGTCTCCAGCCTCCTGAACCTGGTGCCATCCCCACTGGAGTTGACAGGGGTTCAGCACAATACCAACAATGAGACTTTCAGATTCCTGGGTTTATGGTTCCATCTTCCTTCTGGCCACTGTGTTCCAGAGGAGAAGAAGGAGAGAGACAAAGGATGAACTGTAATGTGCTGCATCTCAGGCATTGCTCCGAGGGGTCCATAAGATGGTTTTTTGGTGGGGAAAGTTTTGTATTAGACAAATAGAACCCTCACAGCAAGGATGCACCATAAACTTATGTAAACAATAAGTATATGTGTATGATACAAAGCTTTGGAAGTTCCCTTGTTGAGAGTGGAGTCTTATATCACTCACCTTAATACATGCACAGGTCATTGCCCGGTATAGGTAGGGAGCCTTTCTGCCTTCTCCACCTTTCCTTTCCTGCTCCAATTCTTTTTGTACGTTTCCAGTAAAGTCCCCTTGTTTAAACCATTTTAGACATTGGGGCCTTGTCCAGGAGGCAGAAATGACATCTCAGAGCAGCCCATATATCAGATGGTGAGTGAGGGAGTTATAGGATGACAGTGGCATTCCAAGGGCCTCTACTTCCTTGTCACTTTTCCGTACAAACACATCAAATGCACAGTTGAGAACCACCAAGTGAAAATGACTCACGTGGCAAGAAAAGTCATTCATTCAAGGGTCCTCCCAGTGACCTCTTCTGGCTTTCGGGTTTGATTCCCCTGACTGGTTTTATCTTACTGTCATACTTTCTATTGCACCCAAGAGGCAGGCACTGGCGATGGTCAACTTTCCTTAGAGACCCAGCCATCCTGTTAGTTAAACAGTGATGAGGAAAGATAAGAGAACAAGGAGATTTTGCATCTTAAAAATTGAAAGTTCCAATAGGTCATTTTGCTTAAAAAGAAATCTCTCTCATACCATAACCAAGGCAGAAAATATTTATACCCAACCCTCACCTCCACCTACAATCTCTGTTAGGCAGCTGCTCTATGACTTACTTTTCTGCTCAATATTGACCTCAATTGATATTTTACTCTAATTTCCCCTGAATAGAAATGTTTGGGGATTGTTTTGCTGGAGGAAGAGCACGTTGAGAGCCCATTGTGAATTTCACTGTCCCATGACATCTTTTTATGAAATCTTGTTCAATAAACAATCATTAGGGGCAACACGGTGGATGAGAAGGCCACAGGATTAGAAGTCATTCATGGTCCCACATGGTAGGCATTTTCTCTGTAGAAGACAAGACTCAGTTTGAAAAGCATTTCTGTCACTCCCCAACTATGTGGATTACTTCATCTCTCCAGGCTTATCTTTCTTCTATTTGAAGGAAGACAGGATGGCCAGGCGCAGTGGCTCATGTCTGTAATCCCCACACTTTGGGAGGCTGAGGTTGGCGGATTGCCTGAGGTCAAGAGTTCGAGACCAGCCTGACCAACATGGTGAAACCCTGTCTCTACTAAAAATACATAAATTAGCTGGGCGTAGTGGCAGATGTCTGTAATCCCAGCTACTCAGGAGGCTGAGGCAGGAGAATCTCTTGAACCTGGGAGGCAGAGGTTGCAGTGAGCCGAGATCACACCACTGCACTCCAGCCTGGGCGCAGAGCAAGACTCTGCTGCAAACAAAACAAAACAAAACAAAAAAATAACAAATAAATAAATAAAAGAAAGGAGCAGGGTGGGAGTGGGAAGCATATATATGATCTCCATCATGCAGGGCTGTGAAGCTGGAACAGGGGCCATGTGATCACTCAGCACAGGGAAGGTGCTTAGAACATTCCATCCCCACTTCATTCTTGAAGCAAGAAACCATGCTAATAGCTCTCAGAGTTGCAGAGAAGGATGTTACCCAGCCCTGTCCCCCAAGCACTGGGTCTTCAGAGAAAACATCTGTGTACACAGATAACTCAGAATATTGGGTACATTGTGAAAGGTGCTGCCAGAACAGAGAAGAATAAAAAAATTCATTCGAACAGCCAGTATTAGTAAAGGCTTCAGGGAAGAGGTGGCATGTGAGCTGAGCCTTGAAGGACAAGGATGGAGATACAGCCCGGGCTTCTGGGAGGGAACCATGAGAGCACAGGCTGAAGACAGGAGGGGACAAAGCATTTCAGGAAATGATGAAGCATTAAGGACCGTCAGGTGCAGAGAGAGCCCAGAGTGAGTGAGGTTCAACCCACTGAATTTCAACCCACTGAATTTGCCTCTGCCCCACTGCTCTGGTGCAATGGAACTTTCAAAGGTCTTGCTCATCATCCTCTTCCAACCTACTCATTCCTGCAGGAGTGTCTGGCTCTGTTGATCCGGGCAGTCATCCCCAAACCTTCTCCACAGGTGTCCATGAGCCTGTTTCTCCCTGAATCTTCTTTTCTTTTGTGCAAGTCTCAGTATCATCTCAGTGTGCCCCCAGTGTCATCTTTTTGACCCTCTCCCTGGGTGGTCTCACACCCTCCTCAAAGAACTGAAGGAGGCCAGATTATGACAGAGCCACAGATGCAGTGCTGAGATTACGTGGTTTCTTTTTTGTTTTGTTTTGTTTTGTTTTGACTCAGTCTCATTCTGTTGCCCAGGCAGGAGTGGTGCAACCATAGCTCACTGCAGCCTTCACCTCCTGGGCTCAATTCATCCTCCTGCCTCAGCCTCCTGAGCATAGGCATGTACCAACATGCCGGGATAAGCTTTTTTATTTTTATAGAGACAGAGGTCTCACTATATTGCCCAAGCTGGTCTCAAACTCCTGGCCTCAAATGATCCACCTGTCTCGGCTTTCCCAAATCACTGGAATTACAAACATGAGCAAGATTACATGTTATCATGGGGGAGGGGCACATAAGATTCTCAGATCAGGAAATGACATAATCAGAACGTCATTTTAACACAGTGAATGTACATCTCTGTCTGCCCAGGTTAATCCCCTGGCATAATTATCAATGGAATCCCCATTCACTCATAAAAGCACTTTCATTTAGATGAAAAATTATATGATCACTCTCAGTTTAGATCACCCTGCTGTCCATGGGACACAGAAACCAGGGGCAAAAGGAGGCTGGACCAAAGAGAGCCATTCAGAGGCCATATCAACTATCCAAGCAGGAGGCAGGGACTTCCAAAGGCAGAGAACTCATGGGAAGGCAAAGTACTAGATCAAAGGACAAATTTGAAGGTGGGTTCAACAAGACCAATGATTACAGGATGAGTGATGGAGAAAAAAATAAGCAGACCCACTAGATGACTGACAGTTTAGTATCAGATATAGGGACTGGATGGGCTGAGCAGGATATTCTTATGTAAGAGGGCAAGGAGCTGGCAATGAGAATCTGGAGCACAGCAGAGGCCAGAGCTGGAGATGTGAATATGGCAGATGGCAGAATCCTGGGAACAATCATGGCTGAAGAGGGAGGGTGTGAGACCACCCAGAGAAAGAGTCAAAAAGATGACACTGGGGGCACACTGAGATGATACTGAGACTTGTGCAAAAGAAAAGAAGATTCAGGGAGAAACAGGCTCATGGACACCTGTGGAGAAGAAGGTTTGGGGATGACTGCCCGGATCAACAGAGCCAGACGCTCCTGCAGGAATGAGTAGGTTGGAAGAGGACGATGAGAAAGACCTTTGAAAGTTCCATTGCACCAGAGCAGTGGGGCAGAGGCAAGTTCAGTGGGTTGAAGAGGGAGTGGGCGGTAAGGAAGTGGTGTCAATAAGCACAGATGATTCTTTGGATAAATCTGTTAGTGTAAGGAAGGAAAGAGATGAGACTGTGGTTTGAGGGAATAATTTTAAAAAAAGAGGGGGGCAGGGAAGCATTTGGGAAGTTAAATGTGAAACCTGAACATATTTGAACACCAAGAGGAAGACACTGGCAAGAAGGGGGGGTGTGAAGGTGCTGGAGATAACCATGTGGAGTAAGGTAGGAACAGATGGTTTCTGCTCCAGTGGGGAGGCCAGCCTTAGACAAGAGGTAGGACTCTGGAAGAAAGTGAGGCTGCACTTGGACGGAGTGAATGCTACAGGTGGTGGTGGCTACAGTAGCAGTATTATAACAACAATCATTAGTAGTAGTAACAATGAATGGTTAATCTTACTTTTTGTTTACATGTAAGTTCTCTGCACTGTTTAATCCTCACAACAGCCCCATTTTATATGTGAGGAAACTGAGTCCAAGAGAGGTTAATTAAATTGCCCATAAACCACTATAAAAAATGCCAGAAGGTAGATTGAAACCCAGGTCTTTCCAATGGCATAGTCAGACTTGTAGGCCACTTGGAGTCAGTATAGACCAATGGCTCAGTCCTTTCAGTGAGCTGGAGGTGAAGTCATCTGTGAATGATGGGGGTGGATGTGGAGGCCTGAGGAAGGAGGAGAAGAGTTGAAACAGCTGCTGGGAAGAATGCAGTAGGGATGAGCCAGAGAAGAGAGAGGGCACAGACAGCTTCCCAGGGGCACTGATAGTAGATTCCATCTTGTTCTTATCACCCACATTCCCAGTCCCATTTCCTACCAGGGGCATGCACCCCACATTCTTCTCATTTATTTTGTGTCCTCTCTCCTCTAATCCCTCCATCAAAGGAAATAAGAGCCATGTGGCCCAAGGGGAATGTGTCAGATTCTTCCCACTGCTGGAGGACTTGGTGATGGCCAGTGGGTAGAGCTGGGGAGGTGGTCCTCAGAGCCTTTGTCCTACCAAGGACACTCTCAGCCTAAAAGGTTTAGGGAAGCAGGGCATTCACCAGGCAACAGGGATTGCAGATGGAGTGTCTGGGAGCTGTGCCTCTGTGTTTAGAGGCCCAGCGTTGCTGTTTCTGACTTAGCCTCCCAAGTTGCCTGGGCCCAGCCAATAGCAGAAGAGAACTGGAGCCAAAGTACTGATCCCAGGTGAACTAGCCGTCTTCTATTCCATTAACAAGCCTATCCATCCCATATGACCTCTTTCTACAGGAGATCTATTAATTTTAGTTAACAGTCAGTGAAGAGGACACCATTTGATCCCAGAGCTTAAACCCGTACCTCTGATTCACTGGTTTGACCACTTAGAAAATAGTAGGAGGATCAAATAGGCTGAGCCTCCCTCTTTGGACAGAACTTCATTGAATTAGTAAATGGAAGGTGCTAGCCTTGGAGACAAGCTTAAAGATGTGATATTACTGTTTGTCGGATGTGGACCACCACTTAAAAAAACCACTAAGCCACTGGTCAAATTGATAAAATCCGTACAGGACCAGAATCTAGAAAACATGAGGCTCAACTCTAATTTCCATAAAAGTGGCCAACAGGACCAGGGAATCGGCATTGAATTCTCAATGTGTACTGACTTTCAGCCTCCATATGTCATGGTTAACACACGGGGACTCAGGATACGACATCTGTGGGCTGGCAGGTTCTAGAAGCATTTATTGGAATCTTCTCAGGACTCTTTTCCACAGTGCTAGAAAGTCAATTGTAAGAGAGTAATCACAACGAATTCTTAATAATTGAGAAAAAGCTCGGGGAAAATGATCACATCTGTTCAGACTAAAATGGAATTGTTTGAGGGAATGCAAGCAGGCAATGCTCTAATCTACATTTAAGGCAACTATATTTGTAAGATTGGGGACAAGGAAGAGGAGAGAAGCAGCTCTTGAGAGACAGAATCCTAAATCTGTATATCCAGCATCCATGGGTGAATATTTGGGAAGCAGTGATTCGTGTGTGTATGTGGGTGTGTGTGTGTGTATACACACACACACATATAAGCACACACATTCTCACACACTCACACCCACAGACACTCCAGGTTTCTGAAGAGTTGTGTACCATTACCCAGCTCGAGTTGAAATGAACCCCGTGCCTCCCTGTAGCCCGTTTTGAGTGGTATTCTCCTACCATGGGCAGGAGAGTCTCCTGCAAACCCTGGCCACGGCGTCCTCAGTCCAACTCTCCAACAGATTACCATCCTTCCCTTAAGTCTCCCTGAAAAGCAGCCCAGGGGCAACAAATCCCTCCCTCTTCCACCAGTTCCAACATTTCTCTAATGAATGCAGGAGAAAATTAATTACAGAGGGATTTTCAAGACCTCAGTATCTAATGACCAGCCCCAGCGCCCCCTCCCTCCAGCTTCTTTGAGGCTCCTCATTGGCCCTGCCCAGCCCTGCCCTCCTCCCCTCCACCCTCCCCTCCCCTCCCTTCCCAGAACCCAGGAACAATACCGCAGGCTAATTAGGCAGGGAAAGAGTTTCTTGGCAAAAGGGGCTGAGTGCTAGGTCAGTACCTTGAACAACCCAGAAGAAAAACAAAACAGCATTAAAAGAAAAAGAAAGGGAGGGGGGACCTGTTAATCCCAAGTGCATTTCCGCCAAATATTCTCCTTTTCAAGTGTTTTCTTCCTGGTAAACAAAGTTCTGTGGCTGGCTTTGGAGATTTTAGGACTCGGTTGCTTAGTAATATTGGGGAAAACACGAAGTCCCCACCTCAGCCCCATTTTGTGCCTCTTCTCCCTCGCTCACTGCACTGAGGGGTGGTGACACATTCCCACATTGTGAGGGACAGCCCGTTTGTGAAGAAGAGCTGAGCTTTCTTTTCTTTTCTTCTTTTCATGTCTAACAGCTTCCCGAAGCTCGGCAAAGAACAGAGATTTCTGCTCCCAAGTTTGGTGAATCTACACCAGCGCTGTCCAGCAGAACTCGCCGTGATGAGGGAACTGTCCTATATCTGAACTGTCCTATATCTGTGCTGTCCAATATGGTGATCACTAACCACACAGGGCCACTGGGCACTTGAAATATGGTTTGCACAAATGAGCAACTGAGTGTTAAATGTTATTTCATGTTGATTAATCGAAATTGAAAGAACCACAGAGAACTTGTGGCTTGGAGAGCCACAGCTCCTGTCAAAACCTCTGTGGGCCGAGAGCAACTAAGGGCACAGCAGTAGTGTATGGGTGGCTCGGTGACATTTACGAGGGACAGCGGATGGGATGGTATAAGGAACACAAACGAAGGTCCTGATTTCACTGCAGCCCTATCTTCTCTTTTCTGTGCCATTGGGCATCGCTTAAATTGATCCTCAGTCCCCTCTTCTGTAACGTTAGAGACAATCACAAGAGTGCACCTCACGGTTGTTTTGAGGCAGGGGCAATGGAAGCTGAGTCCGCTAGTGAACCCTTCCACCAGAGAGTAACAAACACAGGCAGACGTGGTGCTCTGCCTTCCTGCCTACTCTTCAGTCTCATCTCCTGCCCTTCCTTGGCTGGCATTTTTTGATCCCAGAATTCCATGCACTTTCAACCTTGGCATATTTGCCTCTCTCATGCCTTCTGTGTGGAATCCCTGCCCTTCTGGTTGCTTTGCCTTGGCCAAGAAGATTCCTGATCAATCTCAAGGGACCTAAAGAACAGGGAATCTTCTGAGCTCTGAGCTAGAAAGCCTGCTTCCCCTCTCTTGTTAGCCCATCTTCCCCTCTCCAGTCATCCCATCTTCCCCCTCCTGTCATCCCATCTTCCCCCTCCATCCCATCTTCCCTCCAGTCATCCCATCTTTCTCCTGTCATCCCATCTTCTCTCCAGTCATCCCATCTTCCCCCCTCCTGTCATCCCATCTTCTCTCTGTCATCCCATCTTCCTCCTCCAGTCATCCCATCTTCCCCCTCCAGTCATCCCATCTTCCCCCTCCAGTCATCCCATCTTCCTCCTCCTGTCATCCCATCTTCCCCCTCCAGTCATCCCATCTTCCCCCTCCAGTCATCCCATCTTCCTCCTGTCATCCCACTTCCATCTTCTCCTCCTCCAGTCATCCCATCTTCCCTCCAGTCATCCCATCTTCTCCTCCTGTCATCCCATCTTCCCCTCCACCTGTCATCCCATCTTCCCCTCTCCTGTCATCCCATCTTCCCCCTCCTGTCATCCCATCTTCCCCCTCCTGTCATCCCATCTTCCCCCTCCTGTCATCCCATCTTCCTCCTCCTGTCATCCCATCTTCCCCCTCCAGTCATCCCATCTTCCCCTCTCTTGTCATCCTATCTTCCCCTCTCTTGTTATCCCATGCTCCTCTCTTGTCATATTTCTTTTTCTCTCTTTCGCTCCCCTTCTCTTTCCAATATGGCTGCCACTAGCCCACATGGCGACTGAGCATTTGAAGTGTCGCTGGTACAACTGAGCACTGAATTTTTAATTTGAGTTTACTTCACTGAAGTTGAAATAGCCACATATGGCAAGCTCTTGCCTGCTCGCTTCCTTGCTCTCTTGCACGCACACACACCCCACATGTTGTAGCTGGGCTACACACCCCTCTCCAACCTCTTCCTTCTGAACATGTGTGCCCCTGAACTTACCTACAATCTAGTGCTGAAGCAACCTCTTAAGAAATCTACCATCCCGTTAGAAAGCGAGCAATTAGACAAGACACATCCTGAGTTCCACTCTGTCTTGCTTTGTTTTTCGTCTATGTCCCAGTATTTAGTACAGCATCCAGTACATAGTAACTTCTCAATGGATATTTCCCATCCATGGAAAAGAAGTTGTTCATCAGTCTACACCCTGTATTATGGGTCAGCAAACTACGGCCCACAGGCCAAATCCAGCCCACTGCCCACTTTTTCATGGCCCTCTAACTAAAAAGCGTTCTTTTATTTTAAAATGATTATATAAGTACCTCCCTAATAGCCTTAACTTTGCCTCTTGGCCTACAAAGCCCAGGATTTTTTTGCTTTCTGGCTCTTTAAGAAAAAGTTTGCCAATCTCTGGTCTGGATCCCAAGAACAGCTGCTAATAGGGCTTGCTGTAGCCTGTGGTTTGAGACAGGGATAAATGGGGTCTGGGGAGGGGTGTGGAGAGAGGAGCCCACACCTGAGACAGTCCCAGCCAAGCTGAGCCCACAGGTACCTGGCTAAGTCTGCAAGAGCTGGTCCTCGGGGACACTGCCAGCCAGGGCAGCACAGACGGGCACACCTCGTGCTTCCTCCTCCCTCTCTCGACCTCCTTTGCCGCACTGCAAACACCTCGGGGACAAGGGCTTAGGGGACATACGATGTGACCTTCTAAGAACATTCTGCCGTGCCCACACTCGAGCCATGGCAAATGGAAGATGGGATTTTCCGGATTCTGTTTCGTGGTTTGACTGCATGAAGTAGCAGTTTCCATTCAAAGCGAAGCCCCTAAGCATATTTTTAACAGCAATGGAAAGGTCTTCCAAAGAGACAAGCATAGGGGCTTGGAAGCAATTTGGCAGGCAGGAAGCAGTCTGTCCTTCCCTTTCCTGCTAAAACATGAACCGAGGTTTCTAAGAACCAAAGCAAAGACTGCTCCAGGCCCCGACCTGTTGCTCACCACATCAAGGTGAGCAACAAGATCCTGAAAGGTTACCCCATCTCTGTCCTATGCTCCTCAATACCCTCTATACCTGGCCCATGTCTTCCTAATTTCCCCCGCAGAAACAAATTGTCAATCATCTCTCCAAACATCACCGGCATCTGGGAATGTCTCCTGCCCCCCTCACTCCCCTTCTGGGTTCACCCTTCCAAACAGAGACGGGCTGAGCACACCCAACGTGCTAAATATTTCCCTGCTGCAGAATCTATTTTGCTGCTGCGGCTGCTGCTTGGCAGCAAAAAGACAGGAAGCTATTTAGATATATTATCTTCCTTTTCAGGAAGTTGAGAGGAACTTTTCTATTGCAGTTCACACAAACATTCCGTCTAATGGTCATTTAGTCATGCCGGCTCATTAGGTCACCAGTGAGGAATGCCCAGGCTGATTAAACATCATTCCAGCTTCTCTACTCGCTGCCCCAGGTCCCCGGGAGAAAACAGAGCTTCCCTGGCCTGGTGGTGACCAAGACAAGGAGCCCATCCTGAAAGCCACAGGGGCTCACTGCCAACCTCACAGCCCCTCCCCAGCTCCCACACAGAGCACTTCTTCCTTTTAAGGGGGGCTGATGTCTTTATAAAGAAATGTGTATGGCACTGAGTAGGAAGGTGGACCCCATGAATACCTCTGGTCATTATAATGCTGTCCTTTAAGGGAGATCAAAGAGGGCCCTTGGCAGAAGGCCCTGAGAATGCTGTTACTGAAAAATGCAAGACAGACCCATGACAGGTCACAGAGATGAATTCATAGCTAGAACACAAGCTTGCTGCAGAATGTAACAACTAACTATCAGTGAGTGGTGGTTACGCACTAGACATATTCCAAGTATTTTAGGTGTATTCACTCATTTAAGGCTTGAACAACTCAACGAGGTAGGAATCATGAGGAAATTGGCCCAGAAAGTCAAATACAGTATTTCTGCTTAAGGTTGCACACACAGTGGATCTAGCCTGTGCTCTGCATTAGGCCTTTCTGCAGTGATAGATATGTCCCACGTCTGTGCTTTCCAGTGGGGTCACCACTGGCCACACATGGCTATTAAGTCCTTGAAAAGTCACTGGTGTGACTGATGAAGTGAATTTTAAATTTTATTTAACTGTAATGTATTTAAATTTACATGGTGCATGTGGCTAGCGGTTACCATATTAGACCCCCCAGATCTAGGTGGTCTGGCTCCAGAATCCACACCCTTAAACCTTGGACTGTCCTGTCTTTCAGATCAATTAAGAGAATATGGAACTACTTACTGGGAGAATAATTAAACTCTAAAGGTGGAAGTTAGGTAGAGTTTCATCAGTATCTTAAAGGACAAGAACATGTGAGAAATTAGACTAGGAAAGAGAGAAAAGCTAGCTTAAATTAAATGGTAGGCATTCAGGTCAGGTGTTTGGGAGGATATATCTATAAAAGGAAGAAGGTAAAATACCAACATGGCTTGTCAAGAGAAGAAGTGGTTTTCCTCTTGTTTAACCAATAAATTATATTGAGCTCCTACTATGTGACCTTACTGAGTCTTTCTCTCTAGAGTCATGTGGCCTGGGTGGGAAGCCAGGTGTGATCCACTAAACAATGCCAGGCTGCATGGGCCAGAATGGATGGCAGGACTAAAGTCTGTTTATTTTGTTGGTATGCCAGTTAGCCGTTCATCTGTAAAGATAGGAGTGATCAAGGAAGTCTTCATGGAGGAGAAGGCACTTAAGCTGCAATTGGAAAGAAATGGCTTGAATTAGAAAAGTGGGACAGT